GAATTTCAACTTCAGGAAATAGTTGCTTTGAGAATCTTAAACTATACAATGTTCAGAGCTGTGTCCAAGTGGAGTTGACTGATGCCTTTGTCGCAGTTGCATCAAGCCCATTGTGAACAAGGAGATGCTGGGGTGACCGCGCCTGCATTACTAGTTATTTATTGCTTCTGGAAAATTAAATTTGATACACAAAGGCCACGCCTAACCTTAGACTCTGATTACATCCAGGTAACGAAGAAGGAAAAGTATTTTGATTTCCCTGCCATTGCAGCGCTCATCAGCCAACATTCCTGTTGAGGAGGAGGCTGCATTCCTTCCTTACCAGTCCGGGCCGCTGTGGTTTTGTTGGTGTGTCTCTAAGCAGACAGCTGTTTTGTGCATTAACTCTACCAGGTTTAGACGGCACTAAACAGCTGTTTGGAACACTAAAGGCTCTCATTGCTATTTACAGCCGGGCCTGGGCATCCCAGGGTGGTTGAGGGTGCCCTGAAGCTGGAGCTACATGGAAAATGGTTCACGTTACAAGTTGTTATGTCTGAGAATGTCTGCGATGCGTTCAGATGGCTGCAGGAAGAAGGGTTATAAATGTTAATAAATGAGTAATCTTTTATGACAAAGAGGAAAGTCCAGACCAGGTCTTCTGTCTCCAGGTGCATCTTGAAGTTCCTACCTCTGACACACTGTGCCTATAAGATGTTTCTGAGGGGTGTAGACCCTCATCTCCATCAGGCAGCAGCCAAAGCAGCAGGCGTCTGATCTGAAGGGCCTTTCAAAATAAAAGACCGGGCTGCCCTGACAGTCAAAGCCTTTCAGTGTGCAGGCACGAGCTGGACCACAACACTGAAGACACAAACATGAACTCTCTGACAGGAGAGAAGGAGATGTAGACGATGAGTGAACAACCTCTGTCATATTGTCTTCGACAAAAATATTATTAAAGCAGTTCAGAAATGTTGACATGAACAGGGATGTATACCTTCAACAGCCACAAATATCTGGGATCTGCCGCCCCCTGTGGTGATGCTGTAGATCCTCCTGGGAACACACTGTGGCCCTACAATTACAGTATTAAGGTCAGCTAAAACAAAAGTCCAAATGTCAGTACATCATTTCCCAAGCACACACACATCTAACCTTGTAGCTCTGGTTGCGCACGGATGTGAATCTGACTGACTGTTTCCAGCACAGTCATAAAGTCTGAACGAGTCGAACTTTCCTGGTTTTGCTCCTCCACTTTCTGTGACGGCAGCGTGACTCTGTTCTCTATCTTCTTCTCAGGAGACAGAACTGAAAACTGCTGGTCAGGATCCCACTCAGAAACTACTGGCTGGGCTTTGGCTGCAGGTGTGTGAGACTGACACTCACAAGGACCGCAGCGGTTCTGGAAAGCTCGGAAGATCATCTGTATGTGCTTTTCCCGCTCCAGATGACCGAGAGGGAGAGGCTGGTTTGTTACAGCTGTCATGGTGTAAAACTGAGAATACATACAGTACGTGTGAACAAAGTGGTTCTATGTAGAACATTTGAACTTTTGTCTAGACACCAAGGTTTTCATTGTTTGAAAGAAAGGAAATATGTAAGCTTATAAGTACTTTTAAAAAAATAAAATTTAGTCCTGAAATTAAGGAAAACAAAGACTAAGTTAAAAAAAAAACAACAAAAACTAGGACTAAGTAAAAGATTTTTTTCCCCCATTCAGTGTGATTTACACCGCCCTGGCAGTGACAAACACATTCTCTTTTGCAGACACACATGTCGCCATGGCAGCTAGAGCCTCTTTCTCATTCACATCACACACTCATGGTCTGATACTCGGTCCTATTATTTTAAAATGTGAAGCCACTGGACTTCAGTTACAAAAACAGTGACAAGATCAAGTTCAACATCTCGTTTCTTAAAAACCCATTAACGTTTGGGTCCCAGTGTCGTGTTTGGACAGACTGTGGTTATAATATAACAGCTGAGCTGTAGGAAACAGAACATATAGAGTAAAGTGTTATTTCTTACCCTGTGAGTTCAATCTTCAGTTGCTGGAACTTCTAATGTGTTAGGACAGAAAGACCAGACGCTGGTCACAGGGACCATAGACCATTGTCTTTACCTCCTCTCAGTGTAAGAACTGCCTCGATCTCTGTGAGCGTAAACGTGTCCGGGGATGTCACTCCTACTTTTCTTCCTCCAGCTCTGTCTCCATCCCAACAATCAGGATCTGCCTTTTGTTTGGTGAGAAAGGCATCGCTCAGCCATGTAATTGAAATCCTGCTTCCAGAGGTGGGGTTAGGGGGGCTGCACAATGTGTCAGTGTTTAATCTGCGGGGTTTAAGGACTCTCAAAACGAACCTTAAATTACGTGTAGTAACAAAAATGTGGCCCATATTTAATTTTCTTTTTTTTAATATCATTATTACAATTAAACCTTGATTCAAATATTTTCTGTAAATCAGTCATTTCCTGTTTACAGTACATGTGTGATCAACACCATGTTGTAGGTTTCCACATAAACCACAGGATAAACACATATAACAAATGAAAATAGCTGTTGTGCTGCAGATGAAGGAATACAGGTCAAAGGTCAAGAGTTTCAGGAGTAACACTGAAATTTCATGTTTTGTTTTCCGCAGGCTACAATACCACTGCTGACAGACAGGGGGGACTTTGAAAGGCCATGGCTCTCTGACACGTCTCATCAACTGGTTTGTGAAAACATATTACAAAAAAATAGGCGTCCTCTTGATGCCAATCACCAGAATATTTACCTCTCACCACTGCACCACTGTGCTGTCACTGGTACCAGGCCACAGGGAGAGACAAAAAAACATATTCTTTGCATTTTGATTATATCAGTGGAAGAGAAAATAACAAATTACAAATGTATTTTGACATGTCAGTCACGTGTCTTCAGAGAAAGACTTCATTATCTCATGTTATACATAGTTGACATTTCTCAGTAGATTATAACCAATCTGAGATAAAGTGAGACTTCCACCCAGGTGCAGTGGATTTGTGACCTCCACACGTCCGTAATAACAGGTAACACAAACAGTATGAGGAAAATATAGCTGTATTTTCCTCGTCTTCCTTTCCATTCCCGTGAGAATTCCCTAACAGATGCCGACATATTTCCACTTTGTAGAGAGGAAATAAACGTCACGACCTCCTGATATATTTGTTCATAAAGTCCTCTCACATTCCATTCTCAGTTATATCAGAGAAATTGGTCAGCGGCGGCAGGTACTTCTTTGGATCACCCAGGAAAGGTGAAGATGGCGGCTGGTTGAAGTGGCCCATCAGAAAGATTCCAATCGTGCCAATAAAAAACACCAGTGTCATCACAATGAAGCAAACTCTGTCGATGACTCTCGCCACCAGGAACCACTCTTCATTTTCCTGTGATGCAAAAGAATTAAAGACAGTGGCTTCATTTTGTTTAAACCAAAAAACATAATTAGTAAACTGTGATCGGAGGCCTTACGTTCTGGAAGCTGTTTTGCTGCCGTGCCGTCTCAGCGATGTGTTTGCAGGATGCCACACACTGCCTCAGTTCCGGAGAGGCCCTTGCCAGACTGGCACCGAGCTGCTCTGCTGTGCCCCCCTCCAGTCCAGCATCTGGATTTCATTCAGACCCGGTAGGCATTGATGAGATTACAAATATAAACACACCTTTGCTGAATATACTAAAGAACATTCAGGTACTTACGGATTTTATCCAATACAGACTTCATCAATCCGGTTCTTTCCTTGAGTCTGGCAAACATGAGTTCGGACCGGGATGTTTTCAGCACGTATTCCTCTGCCTTAGTGATGAGGACCATGGAGCTGCGCCGACGATACGGAAGTAAGAAACCGTTTCTCCTGCCTGGTATAAAAGTGTTGCCATTGGCCATTTCTGAAATGTTGGCATTGTTCGGTGTCCAGGGTCGCATCTGCATCCTCAGCAGTCGAGGTAGAATGTTGAGAAATATCTAAGATGAACAGCAGGTTAGCCGTGTGTAATCCAGGAACAAAGGTTAGTGTGTGGTTGTTTGGCGACCGCCTTGGTGAAATCGGTTCCACTCACCTTTCTGACTTTGTCTGTCATCTTGTGAGTGTTCGGGGTTCTCAGTGACACGTTCAGGACAATTACACAGTTCATTACAACCATGGTGGTGACAGACATCACAAACATCAGATATCTGTCAGTCAAACCAAAGGAACGTGTCTTATTCTTTATGAAGCAGTTGGTTTTTGTTGCGTTACATTTGTTATTGTGTTTTGAGCACAGTCTCTTCTCAGAGCGAATTCTTTTCTGTAGTTGTTCAAATGCCAAACTGGGCTCGGTTGGTTTAACTTGGACTTACTTTCCAATGAGAGGCACTGCCTTAGAAGTCTCCGGAACCTTTTTAGCAATAAGAAAGAGAAACACAGTCTGGCCCAGAAGAGTTGCAATTGACATGGTGCACTTCTGTCCACCAGCTGTGAAAAGCAAACATTTGTAGGGAGGTTAGTCCCTAACAGTATGGAGAGTATGGATTAAAACCCCAGGCAGACAAGACTCAGGGGCCAAACTCTCATAAACAAACAGTGAGCAGAGCACCTTTGGCAGGTAGATAATAGACCAGCAGGCCCAGGGAGGAGAAGAGCACACAGGGAGCAATGATGTTGATGACGTAGAACAGGGGCTTCCTCTGGATGATGAGGAAGAAGACCACCTCCTGATACTCCCGCTCGTCTTTGGTGTACCGAGTGTTGATAACTTTTTTTGCCGGTCTGTGTTTGATGACCCATTCGCCGTTCTCTACCAACAAAGTTTTCATATTTAGACCAAAAAAGGTGATAATTCTACTTGATATTGATATTTATACCTGTGAAAGCTTCAGGGTCGATGTCCACCCACTCCAGTGTGCGGTTGTCCTCCACCTTCAGCACCATTTCTATTTCGTTGGCGCTGTAAGTCTGGGAGCTGGAAGAAGACACAAGATTCTGTTTCTATGGTAAACCAAACATACAGTCAAGAGACAAGGGTCAGAGACACCTAACAAACACGGCTGTAGGATGTTTTTCAACTCTACGGTTAAATTATACAATTGTTTAAACCTAGTTTGAATTGCAGATTCTGTTCTCACTCACCGGAAAACCATGGTACAGTTCTGCCAGTCAAAGGGAAAGTAGTTGATCCTGATGCTGCAGGCGCTGCGGTAGATGGCAGGAGGCAGCCAGTACACGCAGCCGTTAGGAGACACCAAAGCGTTGCAGTACATTGCAACCTCAAACTGACCATCTACACTGTGGGCCAGAGGAAACACGAGAAAAAAGACAAGATCCAGATTGGTTTACTATGATGATTGGTTTACACATGTCTTTGACTTTAACAATTGTTTCTTGAAACGATGTCAACTCTGAGTCTCCCACTTTCTTTAAATGACACTTCCTTAGTTTTTAATCCTGTCATCTCTCTGTCACACATCACACCTGAGACGTACATATTATTCCAGCTGGTTGACTTCAGGTGTAACTAACTCCCTCCATCTTCACTTCCTGTGCTCCCTGTATCTTCACTCTCTCTGTCATGTCCGACTCAGTATTTCTCTGCTGTCTTCTTCTCCTGAATTACTTTTTCTGTCAACAGCAATCACCACACGCCTTTCAGCTATTTTCTCCTCCTACCCCCGCTGCTCTGTTTCTGTCTGCGACCTCCTCGCCAACGGTGTAAACTACTGAGTGTAGATGAATATTCACAGTCAAGGCTTTTGTACTCACTTATTCTCCAGGATAATGTCTGGCAGCCAAATGCTCTTGGAAGGAACTCGAAGCTCAGAGGTGATGTTCCCGTACAGAGCCGACCTGGGGGGCTGATCCCACCTCAGTCTGTGGTCACACCATTGCTACACATGAAAATAATTGACTTTAGACCAGGTAATTAAAAACCCATGACCAGGACTTTAAATGTGTGCGTGAGTTTCTTCACCATTTCTATCCACACGCTGGTCGTCAGAGCCTCCTCCTTTTCATTCTAGGGAAACATTGTCGAGAGGACCATGGAACTTTAGGGTCTCTGCTGAAATTGGCATCATATCATAGAGCCCAGTCGAGTGTAGCTCACCTACCAGGGATATGAGGTTGGTCAGCGTCATCTTGATGTAGACTGGAGTGATGTCTCCACTCTTCTCTGTGGGCCGAACATTTTTGTTGTAGCCTTTCATCAAATCCTTGAAGAGTTCTCCTTCAAGGTTGACTGCAGATGCTGAGAGAAAGTAATACAAACCAGAAACCAATTTGAATTATTATTCTTACTTGATTTGTTTTAAATACACTATAATAAAGCCCAGGGGGAGGATGTAAAATTGTGAGCAGGCACCAGGAAACCAGAAACAAGTGAGTGAGTTTGGTTGTTTGATCCGCCATGTTTAAATGCCAGCACTGATTAAATTCTAAAATCATGAAACTCTTTCAGGATCGTTCAAGCTGGATTTTCAGAAAACTAGTTTGAGGAGTGCTTACACTCAAATGGCGACATCTTCAAATATTTGGTAAGTTGGAAACCTTAGAGTCTGAACTTTCAGAATCTGGGTTTTAGAAAGTATTTCCATAAACTAGTCACTATCTAGCTCCTCCCTGAGGAGCTAGATAGTGACTTCACCTAGACTGAAGTATTTACATTACAACCTGAGGGTTGTTGATGCAACCGCAGCAAAATATTAGACAATTCTTCCAGGACAAGCGTATTAACTAAACAGCACTGTGTCTACACAAATATTTTAACCTATCAGATTGAACTGAAATTGAACTAAGAAAATCCCTGCTCTGTACAAGGGCACCTAGGAAGGAACCACTTCACAACACGATAGAATCATCACATAAGAATAAAAAACAAACAAACATTTGATTTCAGACGCACCTTCTTCTCTGGGATCTGTCTGGTTCTATGGATCAGAGGGAAGCAGTTTCCTACCTGTGGTGGAAATCATGAACAGGAAGATCAGAGGTCCAGAATCCATCAGTGAGTGTGTTGGTGCCACAGAGTCCGACAAAAGCTCTGATCAACGTCAGTGAGTGAAACAAAAACACTACTACATAGTGTCACTGTCCTGTCTTCGTGTCTCTCTCGCTCTATTTCTGTGTGAGGAAGAGAGTGAGTGAATGTTTGCGTGTGTGTGTGTGTTGTAATTCCCAGCAGTTCAGATTGAGGCTGCTTGGAGGAGGGGTGGGGGGGTGCTGAGGTTTGAAGGAATGATTGGAGGATGGAGGTGGGGGAGTCGATGATTGTTAGGTTTAAATCCAAGAGTGTATTTCCAGTACTGCATAGCCAACTGTCTCTCTCTCTCTTTCTCTCTCTCTTTCTTTCTCTCACACACACACACACACACACACTATAGGCATTGTGCTGAGTACATGGCTGCTCTCCAGTGTTGGAGTGCACCGTCCAAACACACTGTATTGTAGTTTCCCGTCAGCACCTGCCTCCTGTCACTCATCCGTCCACTCGGAGACAACCCTGACTCTTTGAGGACATTGATCTATAATAAGCTAGTTAACAACTTTTTCCAATAGAAACCTGAGTTAAGTGTGATCTCTACACCATAAGGGTGACTGACAGAAAGATTATCCAGGCAGAACGCAGCACGTGTGTCTGTGAGCCATAAAGTTTAACAAATGTACACTAAACCGAAGAACAGGTGATAAGTCCTGTCCCTTTACAGCACACTCCCCGTGATGAGTGGCCAGGCTCTGTGGAGGTTACTGACCCATCTGTGGCCTGCCATTACAGTAAGTGAGTGTGTTTACTCAGCTGTTACAGTCATCCTTCTGTATCCAACACTTAGGACTTGAGCTGCTCAAACACTAACTACGAATAGGGATTAGTGGGAAGATTTTAATCGTGATGTCATTTGAGTTTGTATGGTTTCTTTTCAGCCAATCAGCAATGGCATCAACACACGTCAGACATTACGTGTCTCTAAACGTCAGTCTAGATGAGTCCAATTATAACCGTCCTGGAATTAAGGAGAGAAACCAGGAGGCATTGGTCGCTGCGGCACAGCAGCTGTGACGGTGACCAGTGGCTCCCTGTGTTTACCAGAAAGATTAGCCTTAAAAGGTCAAAGGACTGAGGTCACTTTGGGGTCATACCAAAGATTAATTAGAACAAGTGAGAAATGTTTGATCTTTTTCTCATTTCAATTTTAATCTAATCCTGGGATTTTTCTCACAGTGCTGACTCTTATTTAGAGTCAGGTTCTAGTTTCTCTTCTGAGTCAATTAGGTTTTTGAAATAGAAAAAAAAAATTTAAATTAATTTGAACGACTACTCAAAAACTTCAAATATATCTAAATTATAATTTATGAGCTTCATAACATAATGATTTATTTTTTTATTAAAGATTTACAAAATCCTCTTTACAAAAATATGATGACAATTTTATACAAATAAATATAATAGTAATAAATTTACCACATACATATAATATTCACAGTCTGGGTTCATCTGATCAGGGTCACCCTTGAATACTTTGAACAAGTCACAATAACTTATTAATATACAGTCATAATTTACATAAGGCTGTGTTTCTAAACCCATAAAAATCTGTGCTGTGATTGGCTGTTCGTGCCTCGGTCTCGACATTCAGGACACACAGGAAGATGATCTTTGTTATAGAAAAGTCTGTGATGATTTGATTTTCTGTTTCTGTTTCCAAAACCAGGGCAGTTCTGAACCATTTTAACATAGTTCTCCCGTGTTTGACCCAATATTTCAAATTGAGTTTCTTATATTTTCTTGAATGCCTCCAATGCCATAGCAATAATCCTCGGTGCGCTGCGGTAAAACGACTCATTCTCCAAACCGACAAGAGTGTAGAAGGTCAAATGTTGTCCTCCCACCAGTGCTCTGACCCGTGCCTGGAAGAGTCCTCGATCGTTTTTAGTGTTGAGATCCACTAACACCTGAAATAAATAAATAAAAGCAGAACTGTAATGTGCATGTAATTTAGATCAATGATTGTTTTTAATATTCACAAATCTTGATGCTACCTCATGAAAAGTCATGCGCAGATTTTTGTTCGAGACGTTCAGGATCCAGTTGTACGACTCTGTGATCTTAGTAACTTGCTGTAAGGCTTCTCTCACTCCGGGACAAACTGCAAGTAAAACAATAACACATTAAATACATGAATCCCCCCACACTTATCACAGTATTTCATTGTAAGTGTACAGCAAAAGTACACAATGTTTCACATACTCTCCCCACTTGGTCCTGATGTCTGTCTCTTGTGAATAAGACTCCTGTAGTTCCTCTGATGTTCTTTAGGCTTTACAGCATCCACAGTCTGTCCAGGGTCAGAGGTCATTTCTCTGCTGTCACCCTCTGTCTGGGCAACAGTTGTTGACTGTGGGGAAGATTTGAATTCTGTTTCGTCTACAGTCTCCTGAAAAGTAAAACTCTCAGACTCTGTATTCCATTTCAGATCTGACAGAGTGTCTTCGTTCAGTTGGGCCTCAGTTGGAGTCACGTCTTCTGCCATGAACGCATTCTGCGTTGGTAATGTTTTAACTACATTCTTTAAAGTTTTCAAAAGAGACCAGGGCTCCTGTGGTTCTCCAGTTGACGACAGTGAGTCTCTGTAGTCCAAATATTCAGAGTAAGAAGTGGGAAACGGCACAGTGTCAGGAGAATCCTCATGGTGGGAGGCGGTGTCCAGACGCAGAATAGGAGGAGCAGCTCTGGAGTTTAACTTGTAGCGCAGTTCTGAAATAACGGCTTGATACTGTTCCTCCAGCTGATGTATGGAGGAGTCTTCTGTCTGCCATGACATGTAAAAATCACATTACATTACATTACCTTATTCATGGTTATAGTGAATGTGCCTGATGTTGGCTGAGACCCTGTGACCCTTGAGATAGAAGTGAATAGAATATAGATAGAATAACCTGATTTACCTGTAAGAAAATGTTTGCACTGGTTTCAGGCTGTTCTTCTTCATCCAAGCCCTCGGACATGTTCCTCAAATATTTCTCCCAGTCGTCTACTGAAGGCCCCACAGCTTCAAATAATGTAGGAGGGACTGGAGAGGGACCCTGCTCTGTAGTCACCACAGCACCACCTGCTCTGCACAGTATTAAACATCTATTAGAAAAAAAAAATGTACAGCAGGGATTTGGTGAGTTTTCCTCTGGTTTGGTGAAAAAAAACCCCAAACCTGTAATCTGTGTAAGAGACTGTCTCAGATCCAGGTCTCTCTTGTGTCTGCTATGTGTGAAAGCTGAGCTGTAGATGTGTTCCACCAGCTGAGGCAGAGTTTGGCTGAAGAAGGTCAAGTCCACCCTGTCCCTGATGTAGTCTTCTGCCCTCTGGAGAAGGTCCAAAAGGCTCTGCAAGAAGAAACGCATTTCTGGGCAGAGGAAATAAACAGAAGACGATGAGCATAGCTGCAGTAAGATCACGACGTGTATACTGTATGTATAGAGGTAATATATATTAACTTACGACATTTCTTGAAGCGTGTGAGACATTTGTCCTCTGCCATACGGCTGCAAGAACGGTCAGATTGGCCGTGGGGGCAGGTCAAGGTGTAGAAGTGACACAGAGATTTGAATTCTGCTCTTTGTTTCTCTTCAGTCATTTCCGTTGTTCTTAAAAGCTCTGGACATGTTGGCTCTCGGCTCCCAGACGCCCCTTAAAACAGAAGATATTTTCTAACATGTAAGACAAACTTTTTATAAATCTATGAGGTTTTTTTTGAGAACTCACGTTGTATTTCAGCCCTAATCCAGTCAGTGTAGGTGGAAACCCGTGTGTAAACACCAGGTTTGCCCTTTTCTCCACAGCCATCTCCCCAGGAAGTGATGCCGCGGAGTTGAAACCGACCTGAGATCCGGTCCTGGTAAATAAGAGGACCTCCAGAATCTCCCTACAAAACAAAGCAAACACTAAAGGTGAACGTTTAATCACAAACTGAATTTTCTTAGACAAAAGAGAATGTTAGAACTATTCTACCCACCTGACAGGAGTCAACACCCCCAGAAAGGTAGCCAGCACACAGCATAGTGTTGGTGACCAGCTCTTTGCCAAGGGCGCCCCTACAGGTGCTCTGAGGAAGCAGTGGAACCTTAGCTTCCATCACTACATCAGCAGACGGTCCATCTGTAATTGTACAAATATTACATCACATATTGATTTTGTTTTTTTGGACAAATTTGTTTTTATGAGAAGGAATTTTTCTTTATCCTCCACTCACCCTCATAGAGGGAGCCCCAGCCGGCCACCAGACATGGGCTGCCATTAGGGGGCTCTGTACCAGAGGGTAAACACACTGGAGTGACGTGTTCAGACAAAACCACCGGTGATGCCAGTTCTACCAGAGCTATATCATTGTTAAAAGTCTTTGGGTTAAACTGTAGAAAGAGAAGAGACAATCGATGTGTTAATTCATCAAGTGATTCCATGACAGGGTGGCTCTCATTGGTTGATTGGTAATTGCCTTAGAATGAGGGATAATGCGGTTCACTTTGACAACTTGTTCATCAGGGTCCGTCTTGGTGATGTCAAATTCCCCCACCACTGCCGTCCAGTAGCTCTCAGGGCGACCCCTGCTGGTGTCAGGTCATTAAATATAACAGGGGTGAGAAAAAAATGAAAAATATTTTTAAAATGCTAAATACAAACCACAACTCTTTATGCAGTAAAAGGAATATGTCACACATGAGCAACTCACCCAGCGAAACAATGTGCTGCTGTCACCACCCATGAGCTGTCCACCAACACCCCCCCACACATCAGGCCACCGTCCAGCTGCAGGTTGACCAACCAGGGCCAGCTGCCTGGAGAAGCAGGGGAACCGCCCACAATCCTGGAACGAGGCCGGGTGAAGTTTGACACCGTGGACGACCTCTGACCACACAGTCCTGCTGGCACAGAGACACGCTGATGTAATGCAACAGACAGGGGGAGAATGACAGGTTCTGTGCGTCTGTGTCCATCCTCTCACCCTGTGCATGGGGCTCAGTGTCTGGTTCCAGGTTCTGCATCGTGTTGAGCAAGCTGCACTGTAGGACGCGGGCGCTGCAGCTCTCCCCCATGATCCGGATGCAGCTCTCTTTCTCCAGGTCACCTGCTGGGCAGCGATGCTGGTAATATGCACAGGCCTGACTTAGAGCCCAACTCCGTTCTGCCTCATGTGCTAACCTTTGGGCTGTGAAGATGATGTCACAGCTGGGCTCTGATAAGGCACTGGCAGGAGATGCTGCAATCACAGAAAAAAAAGTTATTACCGAGGAACATCCTGCTCGTGGCTTTACAGTACAGGAGTTATGTTGTGCTTACAGCAGGATCCAGACAGTTGTCCACAGTCTTGAAACAGACAGGGAACACATCCCTGGCAGCCGGCCTCAGCCCGACTTCTATCAGATGAGGCGTGATCAAGTGCAGACAGAGCATTGGTCATAGCTGCCTCTAGAACCACTGTGCCACGATCAGAAAGTACTGAAAGAGAAACATCAAGAAACTGTCAACAGCTGTGCACAAATAATTCAAATGAAACCGGGGCCAGAACTGAGGCAGGCTCCATGTCATCATGGAGGGATACTTCTGTATGTACCTTCTGTGGAAGTAACCCAGTGGATGTATGCAGCAGTTAGAAAGAAGCAGAGTTTGACTGTTTGATTTGCTGCCACTTGAAATGCTTTCCATTAATTTTCAATTGTCATGCAGAAGCTTTTGCGGAAAAGCCTCCTTATGGCTATAGCTTATTTTTGCAAAGTGCTACGGATGATGTTGAATCGGAAATAGAAAGTCTACAATGTAACATGAGTGAGCAAATGAGAAAATCAAAAGCTGAACACTAAAAGAGTTCTATCCCCTGCGAAAAGCATCAGATTGGGAAGAGTTTGAGTTGATCAAAGCACTGATATTGACTGATGCCACAGTCCTTTTGAAGAAATGATGGGTTTAAAGCGTGGAAAACTTGCTCACGCTCAGCAATTTTGTGCGGCTTCTACAAACAAACATCAGTTGGGCCGCTGACCGTGCAAACCCCCCTCCATGCAGCATCACTTCACTGGATAGGCTGCTCACAAAAACAATGCTGATGAAGCCCTAATTGGAAGAACCCGGGCTGAGCGGGCTCAGGCTGGTGACGCAAGCACAGCCTCGGGGGGCACGGAATAGCAATGGTGAAGACCTCAGCTCTCTTGTTTTGAATGTTTACTGTGTCTACAGCCTAAACATGCTGTTTTTGAAGAGGCTCTGCCCTGAACAGGCACCTGGAGCTTTACAACCAAAGAAGGTCAGATGTCTGCAAGAGCCAGATGTGTCTCTACAACACTGGACAGGTCACAGGTTGAACAGATGCAACAATGAAGAGAAAAGCAGACACAGTGAAGGGGATACAGTGAAACGAATTAGATCTAAATTGTGTTCAAACAAACTGAAGGACAATACAAGGTTAAGAAATACCTTTGAGACCACTTTGGGGCATTCTGTAGATCTCTCTAATTGCTGGTGCCGCCAGCAACAGGTCCCACCTCAGAAACAGCACTGATAAGAGCGGCAGCATGGTGTCACAGCATCAGAAGCAGCGCCACTCAACAATGACAACAAGCAGACCCACAGCCAAAGAGATGCAAAGTTGGAAGCAGCGGAAAAGGATGCAGAGATGCTAAAGAAGAAGAAACTAGGTTCAGGTCCGGTCTCTCCCTCTTCCTGACTCTCTGGACTCTCTCCCACACTGTGGTTCAGGGCATCTGTCTGTAAGGTTACTCAGCGCAACAAGTACTTGAAGTGTGACTGGTATATATAGAGCCCATGAGAGGACACTAGTAAGTGGGAGGGGATGGAGATAGGATAGGGAGAGATAGGGAGGGAGGAAAAGGAGGAGGAGGAGGAGGAGGGAGAAATGTTGCCATGGCCAATACACAAACAGATGTATTCATTAAAACTGTGACTGCAAATAGGGCACAACTTGCCAAGGCTGGACTTTACAAAAAGGTTGGGTTCTGTGAAAGGAGGGGGGAGAGAGGGATACAGACTGGGAGGAGGAACAAGAGTTATTGGCTGAGCAGCGAGGAAGGGGTTGGTAAATGAATGAACTAAAACAGAAAGAGGGAAAGTAATGTAGATAAAGATCTGAGACAGGAGGAGAGGAATGTACAGCAAGAGAAATGTCAGCATGGTTGAGTGAGTGATGCACGCAGGACATGAGAGGAGGTTGAGTGACAAAGTGTGAGAGTGTGGGACACTGCAGTGTCTGCCATTCTGCCTGGTCCTCAAAGAGAGCATTGTCCACGGCGTCCCTCTGAGGATGCCCACATCAAAGTGGTCCCCTGGGCATCGCTTGGCGGCCGCCGCATTGATCATTTACCGTCTTTCATCCCCTCCATTAAAATATTGTCAGTTCACATTACTTTTGTCTTTCTCTGCTGAACTTTACTTTGATGACATCAAAATGCTTTTGATTTGTAGACTACATTTAAAGTGTTGAGTTTATTACTTTTGTCCGCTTATGCATTATTCCTGAAATGTCCAAACCAGCCAGGACCTGTTCCTAGGTGTGGTTAGACCGGGCCATGCTCATGACACCTCTGCATGACAAAATAACCTGATGTCTGTGACACGTTAACTGTCTTTTCTTGGTGCTGTGTATAATTCAAATGTCTTCTAATGTACAGTGATGATCGATGACCAACTATCTGGCTGAATGATGAAAGAACATGAACCAACTCCATAAGACCATGATCAGAGAGCACAGAACAAAACTGTAAGTGTTGGAAAGTGTGACTATGTTTATGTTTCGGCAAAAAAGCCTTTTGCAGCCAAATCTAAAGAAAGAGTACAAACAAACAAACAAACAAACAAAAGAACAGATCCAGAAATGGGTCAGACATGGGTTTCAGAATCACTGCTTTCAGACAGTTATTATTGTTTAATATTTTCCATGTACACGGGGCCCTGGAGGCCTCCGTCCACTTGTGCGTCACAATAAATGGGAGTATGCAAAACAGACTCAGGCGGGGCAAAATGGGGCAAACTGCTGTGGGGCAATCAGCCGGCACTCTTTTATCCTTTCTCTCATCCCTTCCACCCAGTCTCTGTGATGCCGGAATGCTGTGTCTCTGCTTTGATAATAAGAAAGCTTTTACCTTACTTTTGTCTTTTACTCTAGTGTTACCAGTGGTCATTTGGTACAATGTTAAACTGACACTTCGGTCAATTATCAAAACTTAACAAAGCATTTATCGTGATGCATTTGAGACGTGTGTGTCAGATGCTGAAGTTCAGCTCCAATAGACACAAGGATGTGCTGCTTCTGCCATAATCCCCAGTTGTATTCAATTTCCCTTGTCATTTTGTGTTAAACCTGAACAGCAGTTGTGTTAAATAACACCATGCATTGTGTTTGTTTATAAAAACATTTGCCCCATTGTTTTAGGAAGAAAAAACAATTGAAATGTAGGTCAGTGGGGTTAGCAACAGAGAAAAGGTTCCCAACACTTTAACCCTCATGACAATAGACAGGCTAAAGATGCTCATCTCTACAGACTTGTCATGGCTCATTGTTACACTTTTTAGTTGGATCTATTATGATCCCACTTTAACAACTCATCAGAGTACTGTTTTCTCTTTCACTTTCAATTCTCATAAATCATATTAACACATACAAAATGGTTGACTAAATGGTTATTATTTTTTACATGTAATTTCTCACTAGACTGCACTTGGTTGCAGCTCTGAGACTTGCAGAGTTGAGATTATCTGAGAAAGGCATGAATGAGGAAGATGGATCACAAGACTGCTGAGATTGTTTTGCATAGGAAACATACAGTAGTTTTCTGCTGTGAGCTATAGTATACACACAGGGAGGATGAAATATGTCTTCATACGTTCTGGGATGGTATAGGTTATGAAGTTAGGATTGATTTCCTATCTGGTTGTGCTGTATCTGTGCAAGGGCACAGGCTGTTTAGTAGACTTTTGGGCTTTGATTGATTGTTTAGGATGTTGCATTTTTAATACAGTAGTATTAGCCTATATAACTATTATATGGCCCTTTAAAAGCAACCCATACTAGTATAAATGAATAAATAAATAAATGCATTTATTAAGAGGACAAATTATTCTCTAACATTTACACTTCCTGGCTCATGAGAAGTGAGTTTCTTAGTACTCTCAATTTTGAAGATGAATCTAGGAACTGGGTTACTCCTAATTAGCAGCTCGACCTGGTCCGGGTGGACAGCAGAGAGAAAGGTGGTCTAACACTTTGTTCTTCTGCTTCAAGAAATCCAGTCATTACTTGACTGACATCTTCTTTTGCCAGAAGATGGCAGTGAAAACACATACAAGGGCAGTATTGAAATTTGCAATATTAGCTGCAGTTGCTTTAACAGATGCTAGGTGTCCTCATTACACCACTGAAGCCTTACTCCGCTGCATGAAAAGAACAGAGGCATCCTTACAACACACTTTAAAACAGTAACCACTCATTTCTCACATTGACAATTGAGTTAAAAAAAGAATCCATAAACAATATCAGTTCCTGTATCAGACGTTGTCTTCATGATTTGCTGACTATGTCCTCCTTTCAAAGACAACACGGGACCCTGGCCTGGTCCCCTCAGGTTCTGAAGGGATCGTCCAGATGACAGGAGCTTTTAAAAAATCCCTGTCAATGTTCTTGCTCTCCTCTGCCCGAGCCATCGCCTCCAGTTCCGGTGAGGTTTCCGGACACCAGTCGGCCATGAACTTATCCTTGGCCTCACAGTAGTTCACCACCAGTTCTTCAGGCTGTTCTCCAAACATACAGTCTGGAGAGATAACAACGAGCACAGTGAGTGAGGAAACATTCATGCATTAATGCTGTGAACCTTTAAATTTGCCGTTCAAACCTGCAAGGTCATGGATGAGGTCCTTGATGAGGTGTCCGATGATGGCGTACAGCACAGACAGGACGATGAAGACGGCCATGAGCAGGTAGAGGATGTAGGTAGGCAGGTTGACGGCATCTCGGGCAGGAGGTACATACGATTCAAAAACCACTGAACCGTCTTCCTCCTTGTAATGAACACTGTACTGCTCCAGGTCCATGGCTGTTTGGAGTCCTCAGAAATCCACTAACAATAGTTTATCATTCTATTTCACAATCCTCTTTTGTTTTGTTTACTCCTTCCTCTTCCTCTCTGGACATAATGTCACATTCTTGATTCCTTCAGTAGCACTAAATGTTAGTTTTACTGTAAGAAAAATCAAATCAAATAATGCTGTGTACTGTGTGTCTGCCTCCTGTCTACTGTCCTGCCTGCTTGTCGCCTAAGCTGCACAGTTGGAAACCAGATTAGCTGTGCAGCCTTGATGCACTCAAGGTCAGGAGAACACCTACAGCGAACTAAGTAGCAGTCTGGTTGTGTCTGCTAAAGTTTAGCTACTTTGCAAGATTATAGAAATTCAATTAATAGTATTCATATAGGTGGTTAAATTAAGAATCCTATGTCGATTAAAGGGATAACAATTATAAAGATATGGGACAAAACCCTATCAGTCTAGAACTGGAGAGAATCACTAAAAAGACTGAACTGTGTTGTTCAGCTAACACTCAGCTGTTAAGAATAAGAAACAACTGGTACGTTCTGAAATGTGGTGTTAGAAGATAATACTACAAAAGAACAATACTTCCTTCAGGATATTTTATAATATCGGGTGTGGATTTCTTTAAATATTTGTAGATTTAATAATAGTAATTTAATTTATAGTCGATTTTTTGCTGTTATATATTATTATATATTATATAAATAATATATTATTTTAAATGATAATTAAAATACTGTATTCAATCAATATATCCATTTATATAAACTTTATAAATATGTATAGAAATACATTTTTTAATAAATCATATCTCACTATGTGACTTAATATAACATATTAATTCGACTACTGCTGCTGTATAAGGTTAAAACAAAGTTGTCAAAGTAGTTAAAACTATTATTGTTGAATGCTATTTATTGATGGTTTATTCTTTGTTTTCAATTGTTGTTTCCAAAGACTGGTAATTCACTAGAACAGAAAAATACAATATCCAGTATTGATTAATTTCATGCAATTTTGATTTTATTTACAATTCTCTCTCTCTCTCTCTCTCTCTCTCCCTCAGTTGTTCTATCCCTTTGTCCCCATCTTCATCTTCATTCTCTCTGAGTGAACTTCATTAATGAGCGTTAACAACGTAGACGGACTAATCCATGACATTTCTTAATGAGGTCACAGAGGGGTGCAGTACAGCGTTAACAGGTAAGATGATTAGAGTGAGACACAACAACACTCTGGAGCTGAGTTCAGCAGCAAAACAGGACATTTGGCTGAGTGGGAGAAAATTCCTCCATGAAATGTTGGGCGACGATTGTGTTCGCACAGTAAATACAGAAGTCTTTTAATAAAACAGTCTTTATTTCCATTTAGCACTCATGTTCCAAAAAGACTGTACGCTTCAGTGTCACTACAGCACGAATACAACACTGATCACTGCACTGATGTGAGTTAGGACTAAAACTAATGCACACTAACGTTGGGATCATAATCAGACTCAGAGGGAAGTGACACGAGGAGCTTCAGGGCAGGAGAAGGTCACGCTATGAGCAGATGTTCTTTTGCCCCCCGTGTGTGATGGAGCGATGGAGCTTCTCAGCGGAGGCAGAGAGGATGGAGCCCAGTGTTCTCCATCTCTCTGACAGAAGCGGGGCAGCGGTGCGTTCTTTTCCCTCTCCATCTTCAACGTGTCTCTTTGTGGGACTTTACTGGAGACACTTTGTCGCTGCTCTTTTTCTCTTCCGGCTCTGCCTTCCTCTGAATCATCCTCTACTGGTTTGGGACCGAGAATCCAGTCTGTGAGATTGGACATGGATAATGTGTATTGTGAGTTTTCATGTGAGCTCTCAGACGTTTGCATTCACTGTTATGGGAAACCAAAGAAAGGAAAAGTGAGACACACAAGACACAAACCTGTGGGTCAATGTGAGGGAGTGTCAACAAACAACACAGTTACAATAAGGGTCAAAGAAGGGAACGTTCACCATCTGTGGGACAAGAACAGGTCTGGTAGAGTCACAATAAAAGGGCGACCAGGAGGAGTGGGAAACACCGACAAGAACAGGTCTGGTAGAGTCACAATTAAAAGGGCAGCGACCAGGAGGAGTGGGAAACACCAGCCCAGTGTTTACCTGCCAGGTCATGCATCAGATCTTTGATCAGATGTCCAACTATAGCGTAAGTGGCCACTAAAACCAGAACTACCCCAACTAGGACGTAGACCACGTTATGTGGCAGGCTTATAGCATCTCTAGGAGGAGGAACGTAGTCCAAAAAATAGGCCTCCTCCTCTTTGTCCTTCCTGCTGGGCAGCTGGAGGAGCCGTCGATGCTCCAACATCACGTGTGTGAGGTTTAAAAGAAGCGGTCCTCCTGAGGTCAAAGGTTTTTGACTTGCATTGTCAGAAACAACGCTCATTTCAATGAAGTTTCTTTGAATGACTAAGAACTTGTAATTGTCTTTGTTGCAGCTCCAAAACCCTTCACTAGAAAAATGAAGATACAGGAAGGTAATAAGACAAAACAGGAAGAGGAAATGAGCATCAAACGATTCACATTTTTCTAAAGAATCATCACAAATTTAAATGTCAGCCTTGTTGAAAATGAACCTTTTCTCTCAAAAGTTCCTTTCTTTCACACACACACATATTCTTGTTACCAGACATCTTGACTTCAGGGCAGAGTATGCAGGCTTTGTTTCCACAAGAGGAGTAATTTTACCAAGTGCATTACTGGCAGTCTGTTCCTATAAAAACCTTTAGATTTTTGTTGTTGTTGTTGAGGATATGATGCTGCTGCTAGATATTAAAAGTTCTTAATAATTTAGTAACATTGCAACATATATATATATATAATGGGTTCATAAAGTCCTATCTACAGTATCTATATCGATCTACAGGACCAGGGCATTGTTCTGCTGGTGAATACACCACCATACACTTCTAGTGGTCTGTTAGAAAGACACGAAACAGTTTAATTTTTCACTCAAACTTCCAGGATTTGAGTGAAAAGTGAGACAGTGCAGAGGTGAATATAGGACATAGAGCGTTAATAGGATTATGTGTGTCGCAGAGCTGCATCAGCTTTCCATCTGCAGGGATTAGAGATATGAGTGAGGTGGGCTGGACAGTAATATGTCTGAGAGGCTTATGGTCTTCCATCACTACATCACATTATTGCAGACACATACAGTAAATCTGTTTCTCCAGGATTTTAAACTGCTAGATATAATGTGAGTGTGTTATTCTGTCACATCACTCCTCTAATATGACACCACATTATCACGGCTCATTTCTGGCTCTATAACAGAACAGATGGTGATATTTGAAGCCTCGCCTCCGTCTTGTAAAAGTCAACCACTGATAAAAAAATGAATATATCAATAATATGTGCAGATCTCTCACCTCAGAGACTGGAAGGAGATTCCTCGGTTTTTGTTGTCGACGTGGGAATGTCATGGACTTCCTAGTTAGCATATATATTCTTCACAGACATTTCTGGAAACAAACACACAGCAGAATTTTAGTGTCATGTAAATAAGGACTTACCACAGGAAGTGCTGGGTTAGCATGTAGTGAAAAGACGTATAGCCAACCATCAGGGTTGTGTGTGTTACAGATGGGAAGTTCGATGTTCTGTCGACGCTGTAGAGATCTCCCTCTAGGATTTCGATTCATCCTCCGACACTTTTTGCGTTCGCATAAACTGAGTAATGAGAAACTGCCATTCTATAATGGCGATGGCTACATTTGCGAAGAGAATGAACCAGGAGACTGGGTGTAGACCCCAGTAAAAGTTATGTGTCATGTTGTTTAGAAGGTCAGAGAGGAAATAGAAAGTGTGTGATGAGCAGGAGAGAAGCGAAAACTAATCTGAATGGGTCTTAAGGAGTGATGATGTTCTGCAGAACGAGGCTGTATCTTCTCAGGTAATCCTTGTCTCAAGGAAAAGGCTTTTCGCTGAGTCAGCAGAACAGAGGGCGGAACAGAGGTGAGGGTTCTCCCTCAGCCGTTTCCTTTTTCACTGAGGTCAGGAATGATTACTTTAATTCAACATCTCACACTGGTGAGATCTGTAGATACTGGTTTTGACGTTGTTCTAGATCTGACAGCAGTTCAATAAATAACATCTTTAAAAAGATAAAGACAGGGTTTTACCTGTGACTTACGTCAGCGTCTTGTAAGATCCACTTGTTTTTTAATTCACAGTTGGGTTCTGGATCTTCTTCAGGTGAAATCACAACACAATCACGCCACAGAGAAAGCACTACAAGCTGGACTAGTCACTGAATGAGGTATTCTATGTGGCCCGGGGCTCCATCACGCCGGGGTCACCACCTTCTTGGGTTTGTCTTCCGGCTCTGCCATCCATTTGAAGTAGGCATCTCCTAGAATGAAGGTCCAGTAGATGATGGTCAGAGAGGTGTTCACTGTCAAGATGCCAATGATCAGAGGATGCAGCATGGTGGCGGATGGGAAAGGACGCTGGGTGAGGTGAAAGTGTGAGTGTTGTGGGTGAAGGGTTATCTCCTCCTGTATGTCCCTTCTTCTCCTCCTCTCCCTGTGAACTCACCAGCCCTCAATGCTCTCTTTCCACTGGTCACCAAGTTTCTGTGGCAACAGCAGCGTAATCCCCTCGAGCAGCTTTGTCACAGAAGATAAAGTTGCATTAGATGGCAGGCCTGCTTTATAAGTGATGTTCGTCCATGAGATGCTGTTGCATAAAGTTCGCAGTGATCAGGAGTGTGTTGTTTTGTGGAGACCATTTATACACAGCTAATAATGAAGGATCATAACAGTAACCACAGTTATCCTAAAGTCTTAAGTCAGTCATGTTTCTATATTTATTTCTTAAACTTATTCTGTCACTAATAAATTAAATTACATTTATAATTTATCGTTCAGAAACTGTTCTAAAGCTCCATGGGTAATTATTGGGATTTTAATTTTCTTTACTGTGGTGTTATATTTAGTCAGTTCAAGCAGTTGATTAAGCAATTTTTTTAAACAAAAAAAAATCTAAATCAAATCTACACGTATTATTAGCTTCAATCTTGAACAGCTAATTGAATTGTATTTCATACTTTTTGTTTCCTTTTTGGATTACCGAAAAAAAAAATCAATATCTATGAAAAAAGATAGAATCTTTGTTTTGTTCTCTTCGTGTTCTTTCTCAGGTGTAATCCACAATTTAATCCAGGCCACAGACATCAGATGGAGCTCTCAATAATCTTTCACTGAACAGGACAGATGGTGAATTAGAGCAATCCTGGAAACCTGAAGATTCTATAGCAGCTCAATCTGGACATTCTGTCCAAGAAATGTGTATATGTGTGTATTTACTTTTATTTTTTTTAAACAAATGTCTGAGTCAGTTCCTTGTAATTCTGACCTTTATCCTCACCAGTCAGACTTGTTAGCTGTTTTATAATAATCTAAAGAATATTGAAAAAAAACTAAATCCAATAACACTATAATAACATTTTCGGAATTCTGTTTTTAAACAAGGAATACTTTTATTTAAAATTAAAATGGGTTTTAATTATTATTATTATTATTATTATTATTATTATTATTATTATTATTATTATTATTATTATTATTATTATTATTATTATTATTATTATTATTATTATTATTATTATTATTATTATTATTATTATTATTATTATTATTATTATTATTATTATTATTATTATTATTATTATTATTATTATTATTATTATTATTATTATTATTATTATTATTATTATTATTATTATTGTGATTATTAATATTTATTATTTATTATTATTATTGTTATTATTTATTATTGTTATTTATTTATTTATTATTGTTTTTTATATTTATAAAAAACAATAGTTTTTAAAATTATTTTTTATTATTGTATTATTATTGTTATTATTGTTATTGTATTGTTATTAATATTATTATTAATAATAACAA